TGGGGCGGTGCTGCCCCGCGCCGCCCCCCCCCGCCGCGCCGCCGGACTATCACCCGCAGCTGCTCAGCAACGGGGCTGCTGGGGGCAGCAGTGGGATCAACGGGGACCAGCAGCAGCAGCCGGGCTCAGCGGCCGAAGGGGGGCAGAGGAACTCGGCCCTCATTGCGGTGAGTCAGACCCTATTTCCTTCCAGCTCACAGCGCCCCCTGCTGTTGGCCCTGACATGGGCACCCGGTGCCACTGGTCTGGTCGGCATGGGGGGTGTGGGCACGGGGTGCCACAGATGCAGCAGTGTGTAAGTACCAGGTGCAGTTGGTGTCAGGTGTTGGATATGAGGTGCATGGTGTGGGTGCTGAGTGTCTGGTGTAGGGTGCCACCAGTATGAGGCAATGGGTGTCTCTGGTGTTGGATGTTGGGAACTGGGTGCCACCAGTATGCGGCCTTGGGTACTGGGTGTCTCTGGTGTAGGATGTTGGGTACTAGGTTCCACTGGTATGGGATGCTGAGTACTGGGGTTGGATGTTGGGTACTAGGTCCCACTGGTATGGGGCATTGGGTACTGGGTGTCTCTGGTCTAGGATGTCAGAGACTAGGGTATTGGGCACATATGGGGTGCCACCAGTAGTGTACTTAGTGCCACTGGAGGGCATGAGCACTGGGAGCTTACTGAGTAGAATCCATGGATTCGCTGGGCCATTGGCACAGGTGCATGGGTAGCAGCACTGGTGCTGCTACTGTGGAGTGTGTGAATACACAGGGCATGAGCCCTGAATGCCCCCAGGGCAGGGTGCCTATGTAACTGGTGCAGAGTGTGCAGCCACTTGTGAGATGTGTGGGAACCTGCTGCCCATATGTTTATTAGTATATGTACAAAATGACACGTCTGTCAGCAGCAAAGGCGGGGAAAGCCTCCAGCATGCCCATCACAACTTCTTGTTTCCTGCTTTATTTCTAACTACAATGATGTTTCTGATGTCCCCAGCATGTGTACTAGACATATACCTCACCCATATACCTCCCAAACGCAAAACTCACAATTTAGTTTTATGATTTTGGGGGGGCGAGAACTGGTCTAAGGTAAATGGGCAAGTAGGATCTTCCAAAGCCGATGTGTATGTCTAGATATAAGATATACCTGTATGGAAACAAGCCAGCATATTTTCCCCATACATACATGTCTCCATTTCAGTGCAGTTGAATGGGGCTTTGTTGGCATGACAAGTTATACGACTGTTTCTAAAACACTTGTTTTAAAATACAAGGTAAGATATTACTATCTATACGCAGTTCTATCTATGTGGGTATACAGGCACATTTTAACTTTCTTCTGAAGCAATTCATAGAAACAGGATGCCATACTAAATGGATCATTGTTTTGTTCCAGTCTGGAAATTCTTATCTTTTTACACGTGGGCAACTAGACTTGATCCTGCATTCACTGAAGTCAATGGCAAAACATCCATTAACTTTGTTGCTGAGGTATCAGGCCTGTACACTTCAACCCTGAAAACACTTGCACACATTTGTAATTTTACACAATAGCTCTGACGTGGGCAAAGTTTAGTGTGTTTGTGTGTCTTTGCAGGATTGGAGCCATATGCAGGATCTAGACTGACTGCTTAATCTTTTTGATTTTTGTATCAGTTTATAGGTATGCATTTGATCCAATGTAGCATGTGACTTTGCCCTCCTAACAAGCATTACTGGTCAGAATTCCACAGGCAGAAGATACCCCTGATTCCATTATATATGTGCTCTTGGCACCATTGTTTTGTCAATGTCTCTACCTTCCAGCTCAAGCCAGCTCTAAAACCACATAATCAGACAGTGATTAAAACAAAATCTAAAAGATCAAAATGAATATTTACTGAGAGGAGAAAAGCAGCATTATAAATATTCCTATTGGGTAAAATGATCCCTGGTGCATTTTACCATAGTGTCCAGAGTTTCAGACAATCACAAAACAATTCTAACTCTGGGCAATAGTTTGTTGCTATTGCTCTTACACCCTGCCAATATTTATACCATGTGCAGATTGTGAAAAAAATATGCACGTGTGTATGTGTGTTTAGGTTAGCTTTAAGTTCTAAAGATCAGCAAACACTTAAATATAATGAATTCTTAATCTTATATAATATTGTGTAGCTAAACAACTGCTTCTAAGATGTGGTGTTTACACTGTGACCTTGACCCAGAAACCCCTTATTTGCTGTTTTTACAGGACATGTTTTATAGGGCAAAGTTTCATGCATTTTACAAATAATGCCCTGACATGATGAAAAGACAAGCTTGATATTTTTAAGTTGGAAAGTGTAGGTGTTTTAGGTACAAAAGAGGGAAGTCTCATCTAGTACTCTTTCTGTCTCCCTTAAAGTATGTTCTGTTTCCTCTGCACCATGCCAGAAAAAATAATAACTTAAAAAACAACAAATAGTCTAGTGGCACTTTAAAAACTAACAAAACATGCAGATGGTATCATTTATCAGTGAGAAAAAAGAATGACATTGATGGCTGTTATTTGAATGACTGAAAATAGACTAGTGAGCGTGCGCACACATGCCTTTTTAATACTTCATTTATTTAAAAATGGGATTGGCATTACTGTTTCTCTCATGTTATACTGGCATGCACTGCAATCTGTGGATCTACATTTGGGGCCATATTATTTGGCATCATACTGAGGGTGATGATGTAAGCATAAATGGGATAACATTGTGTCCAAAGGCAGTTTAGACACTCAGACCTGATCTGGCATTCAGATTACAGCTCTGCATTTCCCATCACAGTCAAGTAAGCTATTATCTTATTTTTTCAGTGAGTGTTAATTAAATGCTTTGCATTTATCTTTAATATGATAAAAGACTTTTGCTTAATCATGTCCATTCCAAAAAGCTTCGCTCTCTAATTTCAGTGAGCAGGCCGTATGGTTTTTCACTAGTGATGACGATTATTATGAAATAACTGCAGGAAGCAGTTTGACAGTACTACAAATACAAACCAAACAGGTCTCAAGAATATACTTTGATTTTTTTCTTTTCAGTGAAGAAGGCTTTATCTTTGCTTGTGGATCAGTATCAAATGTGGCCAGCATGTTTTTTGCTGGAAGACTCTGTACTTAACTTCAATTTCTTATGCTCCCTGAACAACTCAAAATTGCCTCCAGGATGGAGCTAAACTTGTGTACCTCTGAGAAGAGAGGGATTTGAAATGATCCCACTAGTTTTTGTGTACCTGCATGCCAAGGGGATTTAGATCCTACCAATGCAATGGATGACTTCCCGAAGAATTATGTTTGAATGTTCAAACCAAATTGTGACTCTAAGACAGGGATGGGCAAAATTTTTTTGCCGGGGGTCACTTCAAAAATTTCTGTAGTGGTCCCAGGCTGTTCTGGAAGAGGTAGGGCCTTGAGCAGAAGGGGTGAGGCCTGGGGGTGGGAGAGTGCGCAAAGCCTCCTCCAGCTCTGTCAGGAGTTCCTGGTGCTTCCAAGCACTGTGTGCTCCTGGCAGGACAGAGGAAATTTTGTGCTGTCCCCCGACCTCCAGGCCCTAATTGGCTTGGGGGCGGGGGAGCGGCAGGGACTCCCAGGGCCGGATCCACTCTCTTGGTGGGCCAGATCTGGCCCGCGGAGGCCCTTTTGCCCACCCCTGCTCTAAGAAGTGCTGGCTCATGAAGCAGCATTGGTTCAGTGTTGTCACTGCACATTACTAATTCTACTTTGTTTCTGACACTCTGCACAGACATTCTTTTTTATTCATTTGCTTCTTTGGGAGGACTAGCTAATTAAGGACCACCAGTTCTAAATCACTGTTATGCATAAGAGAAGTACGTGTTCTCCTTACCAATTGCTCTTTGACATAGTATCTCAGGTATTCAATCCCTGACCCTTGCACCCCTGGCTTCTGCATATGGGATTGTAAATTTCAAATGGTCAAATATCACATGCCAAGTACAGTAGAATCTCAGAGTCATGAACACCTGAGTTACGAACTGACCAACCACACACCTCATTTGGAACTGGAAATGTGCAGTCAGGTAGCAGCCGAGAGCAAAGAAAAGAAAAAGCAAATGCAGTAGAATAGCGTGTTAAACTATGAAAAAAATAAAGGGAGAGCAGCATTTCCCCTTCTGCATAGCAAAAATTCAAAGCTGTATTAAGTCAATGTTCAGCTGTAAACTTAAGTTGCAAGTTAGAAATATTTGTAGCTGAACAAAATGCTCTGGTTGTTCTTTCAAAACTTTACAGCTGAACATTGACTTAATACAGCTTTGAATCTTTGCTATGCAGAAGGGGAAATGCCACTCTCCCTTTATTTTTTTTCATAGTTTAACACGCTACTTTACTGCATTTGCTTTTTTTTTTTCTTTGCTCTCTGCTGCTACCTGATTGCACATTTCCAGTTCCAAATGAGGTGTGTGGTTGGTCGGTTCACAACTCTGGTGTTCATAAAACCGGGGTACTATTATACTGAATTGCTCTTTTCAATTAAGGAGCTCTCAAAATACAGGGCAAAATGAAGAGCCAGAGAATAAAGCCATGTCTACACTAACACTTAGTTAGGCAAAACTTTTGTCGCTCAGGGATGTGAAAAAAATACCCCAGCGAGCCACATCATTTTTGCTGGCATAAGCACTCATGTGCTCAGCGCGGTGTCAGTGGGAGATGCTCTCCTTCCGGCATAGCTACTGCCACTCACTCAGCTGGCTTTCTAACGGCCATGGGAGAGCTGTGCTGCTCTAAGCCTGTAAGTGTAGACATGGCCTAAGTGGGCCCTCCATGGGTTCCAGCCATAGCAAGACTTTGGAGAACAAGCCCTGCGTCGCATTAGATTAGGGTTGCCAGATGTTTCAATAAAAATACCGGACAGACTTAACATTACATCACAATCTACGTTACATCTTATTTAGAAAATATGGACATTTATATATTCTCATTTCTATTTTCTCAATTTGTTTCCTGAACAGAAAGCTCAAATAATGGACTGTTCGGTTCAAAACCGGACACCTGGCAACCCTATATTAGATATCCAGAGGATGCTCACTGCGTAAAGAGTGAGATCCTAGCCCTCTGACCCTGCATCCCCACACAGCAGAATCTGATGGATGATGCTAGTGAACACCCTCTTCACCTTTTCCCAGGGCATCTGAGCTACTGCTTTGGGGTGCA